TGAATTTCACTGCATAAGTGAAAAATTCTTTATCTCCAATTTATTATGATTTCATCAATGAATATTGGAGATATATATATATATATTTATATATGTAAGGGGAGAAATTATATACTCTGGAAATTGGATTTTGGGAATCGTGGTGATAAGGATCATTCCAGAGAGAGGGATTTAAGTTGCAGAAGTTGAAGTGACTTAAAGTTGTCAGTAACGCTGCAGCTACTGTGTCAAGACAGCTTTATGGGGAATTGATTGACTAAGGGGGAGAATTCTTAATGAAAATTCAAAAGCGTGTTCTGATCGTCTCTCTACCCTGGCTATTTCTTTTGGCAGTTGTCGTTTGTGGAGATAACCTCCTCCAGTCACAAGGTTTTCCCTCATTCTTTTCTCTCTTGCGAAAAATCATGGCTCGAACCCGTTTTGGGAATGTTCGTCACGCTGGAGCCGAAGGTGGTAGACGTGGGCGTGTTGGCACTCGAGGTAGAGGTCGTGGTCGACGAAGTGAAACTGTTAGTCCCTCTCCCGACCCCATGGAGGTTTCTGAATCGATTAATAATCCTCCGCCACTGGCTGAAGGAAATCTGAAGGAAGCAGAGGACGACACTGTTACACAAACCCTACAGTCCTTGAATGAACAATCGAAGGTTCTAGAGGAAAATGTCTGTCCAAATGAAGGAATCATCACTGGAAATGAAGTTGCTGCTGCTGCTGAAGAAGAGCCTCCAATTATCGCTGGCGAAGCCCCCATTGAAGAACTCGAAAGGGTTGCTGAAGAGCCCCCGGTTACTGAAGAAGTTCAAAATGCTGGTGATGCTGAGGAAGTTGTTCCACAACACGTCGCTGAACATGAGGTCCCTAACACACAGATAGATGAAGTGGTTGCTGAAGAAGAAGTTCCTACGGAACAAGTTGTTCATGGTGTTGACACAGAAGGTACAAATCTTGAGCCTCGTTCTTCCTCTGAAGATCTTGATGCTCTCATTGACAGGGTCGTGAGTCAGCTTCCTTCTCAAGATAAGGAGTCATCTTCCGAAACGTCTGGACCAGACACAGTCCCTGAATCTCCGTTACTTGGAAAAATGGTGGAAGGTAGTGATGAGGTTGTTGCGACACCAGAACAACAACCATCTGCAGAACAGGTCATGGAGGCTGAGTTTACTCCATCCTCGTCAAAGAGACAACCCTCCAAAAAGAGGAAGTTGTCTGCTGGTGTTCCCGGGTCTTTTCGAAAAAGGCTCAAACGATCTTTTTCAAAGAAAGTCATAAAGGGAAAGAAGTCCAAAACTCGTCAGAAGGCTCTCGGATCTCATTCCATTACTGCGCAACAAGCTATGGATACTACACACTTTGATGATCTTGCTGAAGTGTTTGAGTACGACATTCTCGCCGACCGAAAATTTGTGGTTGAAAAGAAATTCACAAGCAATGAGCATTTGGAGGTTGGCTTTTCCGATTATCTGCGCCGGAAAGGATTGTTCCACTGGGCTGTCAAACTGCGGAAGTACTGTCCAAAATTGGTCAAGGAGTTTTACGCTAACCTTTCTGCTCATGTCTTAGATCAAGACTCTCCCTGGTTTCATAAAGCTTATGTGCGTGGCAAGGTTTTTGAGCTAAGCCCGCGCGTCATAAACAAGCTGTTAAAACTCCCTCTTGACAATCCTGAAGAGCTACCCTCTGATCTTCTGAAAGACTCCACGAGAGATGTTGCCCTGTTCCTGTCCTCACGCAAGTCAGTGGACTTTGGTAGAAAAGGACTCAGTGCCTCTGAGCTTTCACTGAGATTTCAATGTCTTTTCCGTCTCTGCGCCAAGAACATTCTTCCAACCAGCAATGGAACCTGTATTGGTTCTGAAATGGGTAAACTAATGTATTCCATCGATCGCTTTTGTCCTAACATTAACTTTGGTTTTATTGTGATGTAAAAAATGGTCAAGTTCTCACGAGGCCAGAAGACGGAAGGTACGAACTTACCGTATCCTGCCTTGATCACACTGTTGTTGAAGAAGAACGGTATTGTTCCTGATCCTGCCGAAGACGTCATCAACCTTGAGGTGTTTCAACCCAAACCGAATATCCTTAGTCTACACAACGACATCACCGACGACATCCCCCGTAATGCAACCGAACAGCTTCTTGAAGCCCGGCGGATTCTTCAAGAAGTTGTGCAAGAACAAGCTGCCATCCGCATCACTCTGGGTGAGCATCATCAGAAAATCATCCGTGCGGTCAACCTTATGCCGAAGATTGGTTCGGTTCTTGCTGATGAAGGGGAGGACCCTTCGCTTGTCTGATCTGCTCGTCCGTTCCCTTTTTGGCATCTGCTCTCGAGGGGGAGAGATGTGCATGGTGTTTGTGTGTTTGCTGCTTTGCTACTGTTTCCTGTTACTGACTATTCCATTCCATTTGCCAGGCTGCCTGTAGCCTGTGTTTGTTTTCTGCTGGCCTGTAACAAATTGATGACTTACTGCTGTGTTTGTTTGGATTGATTGGTTTGGTGTGGGAGTGATTCTCCTGCACATTGGGCGAAGTCCCATATGCCAAAAAGGGGGAGAATGTTGGAACAATATTTTTTCTCCAACTTTTTTTGGCATATGGTTCTTCTTGCTTTTCCCCTACTGCCTTTCGTTGTTTCCATTCAGGTTACTACAACAGACTGCCTGCAACTCTGATGGTCTACTCTTCTCGATTTGGGAAGCTTAGAAGAGACAAAAAGAATGAATTTCTGGGTGGTCAACCTTTGACAGAGTTCATGCAGGAATACATCATTCCATTTTCGTGCAAAGGGTTTTAATTTAGTTTGTCCTGTATGCTTTGTTTGGCTGCTTCTTGGTTAGTTATGTGGGAAGTGTTGTGGTTGCTGTATGGTTTCAGAGAGAGAACTATTGTAAGAGAAAGTAAGAAAAATCCTCTCAACCTAAACCCTTCCCTTCTTCATGCATTGAAAGAGTGCTTGTCACATTTACTTGCCGGAGACATCGTCGGAGGAAGAAGAGATTGGAAATCCGATCAGGAGATTCGTCCAAAGTCTGAGCAACCCTGCTATCTGCTAGTTGTCAGTACGAGTTCGTGACATCTTATACCTGTGGAGGGATTTTCCTAGGTGGTTTGCATTATAGTATGGGATAAAGGAGTTTTGGGCTGTTTAGTTCATAATCAACCTTGATTAGTGAACTTCTCCTGGATTGGAATCCCCCGGATGTAGGTTGGTTATAACCGAACCGGGTTACCAAATATCTTGTCTTTTATTGCTTTGGATATTGTCCTTATTTCGTTGACAAGATGATGTTATAACTGTGATTTTACCACGCTTCGGGAGTTGGCCCATTTGGAAAAGTGTACAAGAATTTATTGGGGTTGCACTTATTCCATCCCAACAATGTATAATTAATTTTTTTTTAAAAAAGAAAATGACAAATTATGTAGGACGGGAACAAATGTTTTAAATTGTATTTTATAAATATATTTGATTATGCTGAAATCAATAATGTATTAGTTCACATGAGAATTATATCATGTACGGTTAAAATATATACTATATATTATATTATTATATGCTGTCAAACATGCAATCTCTGTTTTATGTGCATGTGCTTAATGAGACTCTAATGAAACATGTTTAGTAAACAAGCTTGTATGCTTTCATGTTGAGAACTGATCCTTTCACAATAGATCTTGTGACCATAAATAAAATGATTGTTACTAAACTTCACTAAATAAAATATTGTGATACAAAATGAATAATTCAACTATTACGGTACAAATGAAGTAATAATTAAACTGTTTGAAGGAAACAATACATTGCAAATACTATAGAAATAATCTAAATTAAAATAAAATAATATTACAAAATTAAAATACAATAATTTATTTACTACAAATTATAAAAAACACACACATATATATATATTTGTAATATGTATACCATATATATATATCATGTGTCAATTGAGACACATGAACAAAATAAAATATCTAGGGATGACAATGAGACGGATTTTATAGGTTTTGGAACCCGTCCTGTTAAATAATTATAGAATTAAGAATTCACCATGTTCTATCCTGGCTCAATCCTGTTTCGTTTAATAATAAAATAATAGTGAGTTGAGAAAACAATAAAATAAAGATACAATATAATTTAAAATAAAAAAATTCAAAAATAAAAATAATAAAAATGATAAAAGTATAAAATTATAACTTCATATAATATAAATAATTATATAAATATATGATATTAATTTTTATAATTAATAATTTAAGCGGATTCGGAACAGAATCGAAATTAAAATAGAATTTTTATTTTTTATCAAATCCGCAATCTACTTCCAATCTGATCGAGTTTAAAATCACAAAATCCATCACTTATCCCGCCATTTTTTTTTTTTTTTTTTAACTTGAACTCCCTCGTTAATATTGGAACAGTGGCGAGATCCACCTCAATTGGCAGCTCTACAAATATATTTGTTACAATTGACTTATTATTATTAATGAAGAAAAATGTAAATTATAAAATAATTAAATATCCGTTTTAAATTTTGTATTATCATTACTAGAATGATAAATTTTATTTTAAATAAATACTAAAATTAATAATATGTATACATAAAACATTAATGAATATATTTAAATATTATTTATAAAAATTAATGAAACATATACGAATAATGCTACTGAATATTTTAAATGAAAGTTAATAATTTAAATAATTATAGTAAAAAATTATATTAAAATATAAGTAATTATAAAATTTATAAATATAAATAAAATATTGAAAATCATACAAAGCACAGTAAAAATACTAGGTAGAAATTAGAAAGGATGTTTGACAATACAGTAGTATTAGATTTGAAATTTTGAATTAAGAAATATCTTCTGCATCTATTTTTCCTATAATATTTTGAATAAAAGATAAATTTATGCAATTAGCAAGTCTATATATATAATTTTTAGTCCGTTTTTACCGTTACTAAATCACTTAACGGTGTCGAGGAATTATAGCTCAAATGGTTGATTACTTCTTGGCATACTGTGAGTTTAAAGTTCAAGTTTCATAAAATGCGTGAATATGTACGTGTGTAGGTAAAAAAAAAAAGATCCTCCGCGTCGTCACGAGGCAATCCAACTGCTTCCCGGCATTTTCGTTGCGCCGCATCCGGCGACCAATCTCCGAAGATTAGCCGATTGTTCCCACTTCCCGGCGCCGGCATAAAGATTCGACACAAGAACGTAGATCGCCGGGTCATCCTTTTCCGTTTCAAGAAGAAACTCGGCAACCATACTTCCCAACCGCACTTGTCCGTGCGCGACACACGAGCTCAACAACGCCCACCAAACGCGGGGATCAATCTCGCCGCTCCGAACCCGGATAATCCCCTCGGCCACATCCACCAATCCGGCTCGACCCAAAAGATCGAACAAACAAGAAACATGGTGCATTTCCGGCTCAATACGATAATCCTGAACCATAATATCGAATATCCGGATACCCTCTTCGACTAAGCCCGAATGGCTGCATGCCGACAGAATTGCCGTAAACGTGGCCCCGTCGGGCTCAACGGTAGCGACGCTCTGCATCGCCTCGAACCGTTCGATCGCTTTCTTCCCATCGCCGTATTGCGAATACGCTGAGATGATTGAATTCCACGACACCGTATCCTTCTCCGTCATGCTGTCGAACACTCGTAGAGACATGTCCAACGCCCCGCACTTTGAGTACAATGTAATGAGAGAATTCCCGAGCAACGTATTGGCGACGAAATGTCTTGATTTAACGACGTACGCATGAACCTGTTTCCCGCGCCGGAGATCGGATGTGTTCGCGCAAATGCTCAAAACAAGGCTTAGAGTGTAGTGATTTGGTCGCATCCCGAATTCCGGCAGCATTGAAAACAGCCGCAGACCGCGAGTGGGCAGTCCGTTCGACAGAAATCCGGAGATCAGGGCGTTCCACGAAATCAAGTTTCTCGTCGGCATGTCGAGGAATACGTCGCTCGCCTCCTCGATCAGACCGTTTTTCGAAAATGCCGAAAGCAATGCGTTCGCGACTTCAGTCTTCGATATGAGGCCGTTTTTTATTACGACTCCTTGAATCATTTCGACGTCCCGTCGAGAATCCATGCTCGCCAATAAGCTCCCGATCGTATATTCGTCCGGTTTCTTCCCATCCCTTTGCATTTGACGATACGCAAAAATCGCATCTTTACTCGAATTCTCTTGCGCGTAGCTCGCGATGATCGCATTCCATGAAACGATATCCTTTTCTCCTAATCGTTCGAAAACCAAACGAGCGGCATTTGAATTCCGGCAACTTGAATACATGCTTATGGCCGCGTTGTTTACAGACGTACATCGACCAAACCTAGTCTTTACGGCTTGAGCATATAACTGATCGGCGAGTTTCGAGCTAAAACAAGTTCCCATTACGCTCACGAAAGTTAACTCGGTCGGGCTTATGCCGACGGTCAGCATTTCTTTGAACATCGACAAAGCTTCCTCGTACCGTTCCACGCTCGCTAAACCGGCGATAATCGAATTATAAGTTATCGCATCCCCGACTCGGCACCCGACTTCCTCGAATATAAGATAACCATCTGCAAGACTGCCGCCATTAAAATACATAGTGAGCAAGGAATTAACCACAGAAGTCTTCAGTAGGAATCCAGTCTTCACGATCAAGCTGTGAACTTGTTTTCCGAACTCGAACTGCGGCGACGATGACAGCGAAGAACATAAACTCAACACGCAGGCGAAAGTATAATGATCGGATTTCACATTGAGGAGATGCATTTTTTGGAAAAGATGGATTGCCATTTCATCATAAGCCTTCTCTGCACACCCTGTGATTAATGCATTCCAAAGCTCTAAATTTCTTTCAGGCATTTCGTCGAACAGTTGGAGGGCGTCGTCCAATTCGCCAAGCTTCACGCAGGCGGACAGCAATGTCGTGCGCGAGTAACAATCGGGGCGGTTCATTCCGGCGAACGCCTTCTTCACGGCGGCCAAATCGCGCGATTTGGCGTAGAGGGAGAGGAGAGTGTTGGCGACGTGGGGAAAGGACTTGAGGCCGGATTTAATGGAGTTGGCGTGGAGCTGCGCGCCGGAGATGGAGTCGGGGAGACTGGCGCAGGCGAAAAGGGCGGTGGAGAGGGTGTATTGGTCGGGGTTGAGGCGGTGGGAGGAGTGGATTCGGTGGAAGAGATGGAGGGCGTCGGAGAATCGGCCGCCATGGACGAGGTTTTTGAGAAGGCGATTGAGCTTCAGCAATTGGTCTGAGAGATTGGAATCTGAATTCGATAAGCAGCCTTTGATCTGTGGGAAGCAATGAGATTTCATAAGCTGTTGATAATTGCAGAAACCACCATTGATGGTGCTCAGGGAGGCGGCTGAGCTCCGGTGACAGTGTACCTGAATTTATTTTTATTTTTGGCCCAACATTTTAGGCCCATTTAGTGAGACCCAGGCCCAAGTTTCATTTGGGCTATTTTTTGAAATAGAATATATCTATTTAACCTCCCCAACTCGTATTACAATTCAACTCTGGGATATTACATATCACCGTAAAATAAAATGAAATATAATGGTCTCTCATTAATTGGGACATGCGTGACTATTTTTTACAATTGTACATTTCAAATTTATAAGAATATTTTTCACACCTCTCTTGAATTATGATTATGTCATCATTATCTTACTTCACATGATCATGCCGAGATAATAATCCATGATCATCTATTATTTTTTCTACTTGTCATGCTCCACTAGTTCTTTGAAAATTATTGGTTAATGATTGGAAAACAAAAAGATAATGAAGTATGATCAATATTTTTAGTTGGTTGGAAAAGAAATAACACAATAAAGTATGATCAATATTTTAGTTACCTTATAGTTCTCTTGAAAAAATTTCATGTGTTTTGGTCTTCTACAACTCGAATGGAGGACTAAAAACTCTAGAAGATTGGTATTTAGTTTGATTGTGAATAGTAAATTCATCATTTTGTTAAGATAGTGGTAGAAGTCATGCAAATTTTTTTTTTTTTTTTTGTTGAACATCTCAATCCTAGGAGGCTTTTTAATTGAGGTCCACATCATAACTTGTGTATTACCATCTTCATGATTTCTTAGTTTGGAGATTTATCAACTTGTAGTTTTTTGTCCTTTCTGTAGTATATGAATAATCTTTTTGCTTATTATCTAATTTGACTCATCATGTTTAGTTACATGAGTGCATGTCAGACTTTCAAGTATCTTTCGTGTGTAAATAATAAACAAACTTGTAAATAATAACAAAACTTGTAAAAATATTGAAGTAAACAATCCAATTTCAATATTGAAGTACATACCATTCCCAAATATTATAAAGTGTAAATAATAAACAAACTTGTAAAAATAACAAAATACATGCATTAACATTGATTAAATGTCGAATTATCACCCAAATGTATCAGAATATAAAATATCTTCCAAGAAATATGAAATAAGTCCAACACTAAAAAAAAAAAAGTAAAAGAAATATCACCCAAAATGAGTAATGAATCTCAATACCGGGGCGCTAGTACCATCAGAATTAAGATCATGGCGCTAGTAACATTTGACTTTTGTCCCGTAAGGGATGATCTGGTGGTGTAGGAGTTGGATTTGTGACCGTGAGGTCATGCGTTCAAACCCCCGACGCCTCAGGTCACCTGCCACACATGGTTCGCCTAGTGTGACTTTCCCGTCAGGCCTGGTTTGCAGGGTGTTAGGTTCGACCGGGTGTTTACCCAGTGCGCACTTTCGGGTAGCTGTGGGTTCCCACGCCATCCAAAAAAAAGAAGTCACCTCCTCGCATCCGCCTAATGTCCTACATAATAGTCAAATTCTGATTTATTATGGTTTGATATTGAACATCCAAGTTAGTCACATGCTGGTCCACATGAGACACATGTCCATGGATCTTTCCAAATCGTTCTCTATTTTTTTTAATCGATTATCATTGGCGAATGAACCTATTGTGTCCCTGTCTCTAGTGATAAAAAATAATTGTATAAGAGGGATTGTCGAAGCCAATGACCCCAATCCGAAAATGCCTTTTTTTTTTTTTAAATTGCGTGTACTAGCTTGAGAAACAATTCTTCTTGATCGTACTTCGTTCTCTCTTGAGTCAAATCTTGTTGATTGCATTAAACTTTAGAAACAAAACAAATAGGAGGAACAATTTGAGTTCCTTCTAGAAAGTCTGTTGGTTGCAAGGTCTTATTGTGCTCAATAATTCTAAGTGTTCTCCTACCAGATATCTTCATTTTCACCTCTCCATGTGTTTTTTGTTTTTTCTTCAAATTAGACTGAGACATATACATAAATTATGAACTTGGAACGGATTTTCAATTGGTGATCTTTCATTTTTACTTGCAAGATTTTCTAATTTGTCAGGCTACTCAAATAAAAAATCTTCATAATTTATTTGCACACATTGAAAATTGTTGTTTCAATGGTTTTAAGAAAATAAAATTGACAATAATAAGAGTAAACAGCAAATCTATTACAAATGCTCAACAAAATATTTAACTTTCAACTCTTTTGGAAAATGAATACTATGAACATGTTAAAATAAAGAACAGTTAACACATCATAACTCCAACCAATGCTCAAAGGATTGACAAATCGAAAAATCACAGCATATTAGGGGGAAATAAAAATCGTAGATAATTATAGGATGAAAGAAAAATAAAGATAAAATTTGGAGTGAGTTTGTCAGACCAATACTCACTAAGAAAGAAAATATTACTCTTGCAAATTTACTCGGACACTCAACTTCATTGCACACTTGATATAGAAACAAAATGGGAAATCATTTAGAGAACCAAATAATTTATGTGAATACTACATCCATGAATAGATTGAGGGATGTGATAAGATAAAGTTGGAGATTATATGGTAGCATTATTTTATTTCCCTAGGACAAAGTGTAGAACTAGATCAAGTAATATAAAACTTATGAATTTCTTTTCAGAATTTTTTTTTAATAAATAAAAATTCAGTTTGTTTCAAGTTTATATGTCTCAAATATAAAATAATAGTTAAACAATTACAGAAAAGTAAGCAAACAAGACAAATTTAGCAATGAAGAATTTAACATGTTGAAAGTAAGAAATATATATCATACTTCCATAACTTTTGGAAATATATCAGCAGTTGGAGTATAATTCATGCCCAAACAAGAAACCTTCCTTGTCAATTTAAAGTTAAAGGAAGCATGCTTAAATGAAAAAAATATATCATATTACACAAACAAATCAAATTTTTAGTGAGCAATTTCATTGACAATAGAACAATTACAGGTATTCCAAAGAATAAAGACGACACCTCTTTGATCTGTTTATGTTTGATAATAAATATCACCTAATACCCCTCGTATTTTTCAGATTATTCATCATACTGCATGAAAAGTCAATAGAAGTACATCAACAGATAATCGCTCAAAATCCTTTTAAATAGAGTTTAAGTATTAGAAAAGGACGTATAAATTAAGAAAATCGTGAAACGAGACTTAAATTAGAGATATTACAATTGAAAATCAATTTTATTTTATTTTATTTTATTTTATTTTTTTTTTATCTAGATATGTACTAGAGTTGATACTACTAAACTTGATAATACACCAAACTTTATATGTACTTCAATATCAGCAAAACCATAGCATTAAGTCATCATATAGAACTGAAAATACCACAAATTAATATTCCAAATAATAAGCATATTACAACATAGATGCTCTTAACCAAAAGCATATTCCAAATATCTTTTAAGATACAAAAAAAATGATATATGTATAAAATGAAAATAGTGTCGCGCGTGTTCGTGTAGTAACTCCAAAAACTTCGTCAAAAATAAAAAAATCTCTTTAACCGGTGAGTGTCCGGGTCGAACTCAGGGAATATGCGAATATCCTATATTTAATTAGAAAAAGTGCAATGAGTTAATGCAATCGAAGAAGCTGAAAAGATGAATTGCCGAAATTAAATCTAACTAAAAAGCGATAAGATAAAATATACGTATCTCGAAAATGATGAAGCGAAGCGTTTGTGTCTGACTTTTGCGTTCCTTAATGGCTAGATTTCCATGGATGAAATGAACGGGATGACGATGGCGTGATAGCGAAAGATATATGTATAACTGCGGGGCGGCTCGGAGGAATGAACGTGATCGCATTTGCTCGCTTAAGCCGAGTCTCGACTCGGTTGGTACTTGACCTTGGAGGATTTACAACGAGGCTTCAGCGACACCCGGCGAAGAACATTATAAGAAAGAAACCCTACTGTCACTAGGAATCTTTGTGACCCAATAGACCACCACCGCCTATGCCCCATGAATTATTCTTCCAACCGTTCCGCTAGTGGCTCTATCCCTTTCATTACATCTCTTTAATCGGAATCGAATTCAGAACAGCAACTAAGCAGGTCAACAAGGCTTCCGCGTACTTAGCTACGTTGAACTATCCGGGAACCGCTTTTGGCGCATAACAGGGCTGAAATAGTCGATTCTTCTATCGCCGTTCCGTAACCTTGTCGAAATCCAACTTGAACAATTTAAATCGAACATGGAATTTTTGGGTAAAGGTGAGGTGGAGAAATATGATAGGAATTTTACTAGCTAAAATACTATGCTGAAATTAAAAGAAAAAGGGGGAGAAAATCAGTTTGCTCGCGACACAAAACCGAAAATCTCGTATTATTAAACTAGATAAAAATACGGAAGAAAAGAAATGGAGAAAATGGGGTGTATGAAATTTTTATTATTGTGTATATATGGTGTATATATATATATGGGGTACAATTAGAGGGGATATTTATAGGGGGAAAAGCTTCTAGAAGCTTGGCGGTTACAACCGCCAATAAATAACTACTTCTAAAAATAACTATTAACTACCTCTAAAAATAACCATAAATAACTAACTCTAAAAATAGCTAGTAATATAGCTACTAATAACTACCTATTTTCAAGAAGGTTCTAGAATAAAAATTACACAAAAATAGCCAAAAATTGGCTAAAAAGTAGTGCATGAATTTAATATAGGAGCTAGGAGAGTGCATAAATAAATGCAGGGTTGGAATAAATGCAGAAGCTGGGGGTGCAGAGCAGTAAATACAGGCAATGATTACAGCGAGAATTAATGCAGCCGCTGGTCATGGAGTCCGCACCAGCCGCCGCTCAAATTCCGCACCAGCCGCTGCTTCGCTCACTTCAACGCCAAAGTTTCCGTGCAGCCATCATCGCTTCGCTTTCCGCGCTCGCTTGCCTTCCGTGCCAGCCGTCGCTTGCCTTCCGCGCTCATAAATACAGTCACCGCTCGCCTTCCGTGTCAGCCGTCGCTTGCCTTCCGTGCGGCCGTCGC